TCACCAGTGCTGAGTACAGGGGAAGGATCACTTCCCTGCTCCTGCTGGCCACACTGTTCCTGATCCAGGCCAGGATGCCATTGGCCTTCTTGGCCACCTGGGCACACTGCTGGCTCATGTTCAGCTTCCTGGCAATCAGTACTCCCAGGTCCCTTTCCACCTGGCTGCTCTCCAGCCACTCTGTGCCCAGCCTGTAGCGCTGCAGGGGTTGTTGTGGCCAAAGTGCAGGACCCGGCACTTGGCCTTGTTGAACTTCATCCTGTTGGAACCAGCCCAACTCTCCAGCCTATCCAGGTCCCTCTGCAGAACCCTCCTGCCTTCCAGCTGATTGACACTCCCCTCCAGTCACTGGCTGATACTTCATGTCTCTTAGCAAAGCTCAGTTTGTTTTACAGTGTGAAGCATTTTTAATAAGACATAATATTTCCAGATCAGTACCACCAGTTCAGACCCGCAGTCTATAGGTAACATTAATTTACTTAGTATCTTGAAATATCCCCTATCTAGCTTAGAACTCAAGTTTCAGTCATGTCATTGAGATGGTCAGTATTGCAAAGCTTGTCAGATCTTTTGTCCTACTGCTTGATGAGCATTAACTGACCCAGATCTGTGTTTGTCACCTGATTATTTATCCTTTCATATCTTTGCTGCAAGAATTCTTTATTTGACTTGAACTACAAAAGATTTGTGCTGTCATCTACAGAAATCCCCTAAAATGAATGTTTATATCCTCGAAATCCTTCTCAGTTCTTACTGAATTCTAAACATTTAGATGCTTTATGTTAGCAAAATCCTTAACAAATTGAAGTATATGCTTCTAAGCCTTCAGAGAAGCATTTATATCCTGGCATTGAGCAATCCATTGAGAATTTTAGATACTCAATCTTATATTTATTTCTGTGAAATTATTCCTAAATGGGATAAAGTATGTTAGCATGCACCTTAGCATTAAAAAGCATAAAAAAGCACCCTAGATTTTAACAGAGGACATTTATTTTTTTCTTCAAGGTGGTTATAAAAAACCATGGAACTGCAGATGAAAAGTATGGGATACACGGCTTCTAAATTATCTTCATTTGGAGAATCCTGGAATCTTATTATTATTTTTGCATTCTTATTTCAGAATAGTGAAAGCAGAAATTTGGCTTGGTTCCAGGTCAGGAAAACAATAGTGTGCCAAACACAGAGGAGTTCATGAGTGCAGAGTGTTGGGGTTTTTTTTCAACCAGCCAATTTTGTTGGTAATGAAAACAGCAGAGTAGAGATGGTTACATATGAAGAAAAGGCAAAGAAAGCATGTGGGTTTTTTAATAAGAGAATAAACCTGATTCATCATTCATGTAAAGTGCACTTCAAACAAACCAATCAATGAAGATTAAATGAAGAATAACCGAGAGTCCTGAAAAATGCAGAAGTGGACATAATTTCACTTAGGTTTTCATTTCCTTTTAGAGGTTATTGACTGAACACCTACTTGTAAAGCAGAATGCAGTATCATCAGAGAGGTTTCTAATATTGTCTCATTTTTAATTGTCTCTTTCTTTTAGAAATGGAACTGAGCCTATTGAGTTTTAAGAGAACTTTACATGTCTAACGTCATTGTTTTTGATTTTCAAGTGATAATCCATGCATATACTCACACAATGAGAGAGTATTAACAATGTCTAATGCTTGAAACCGAAGTAATTTTTTCTTTGCAGAATTCAGATAATGTATTCACTTTGTTTCTTGCCTATGCCACCTTCAAGCCTGTTTTCTGTTCTACAGTCCCTGTTGGTGGTGGAGCTGCAGGTATATTAAGTTTTGCAAAAGACTTGAAGACCATTTTATCATTTTACAGCAAGTTCATGAGTTGAGGACCCTTCTTCAGTTTTTAAATGCTAAACTACATATGGCATGTGGCCTTCCTCATTCAAATGCTGTCTGGTCTGTGGCAGTAGCACAGGTGTCTAAGAAAGCATCTTCCACCACCCTTGCTGCTGCAACATGGATATTATACAAGCTGCCTCTCTCACTGCATGTTGGGTATGAGAGAATGAATTTGGGAGATGGGGTTGATTTTGGTGTTTGCCAGAGCTCTGCTTTCTCAGGACCAGCTGAAGACTTCCCATTCTCTAATCATGAGGCTGGTTGGCACCTCGCTGCCCTGATGAAAGCCTCTGTGTTTGGTGGTCCCACTGCAGTATGTACATGTGAGTTCTAGTGCCTACACACCTTGCTGACATACCATACACAGTTTGCAAGTCACTCCCCTGTCCCTTAATAACTTCTGGTTTTCAGGCCATAGTCTTTCTGCAGTGGTGAGTATTTTTAGAGCTGTGTAGTTCTTCAGCCTTTACACTCCAAGGCTCTTCTTGTGACCTTTGCTTGGGGCTCAGGATCTTGCTTTGTTTTTCAGGTCAGGATCTTGCCATAGTAAGGAGCTGATGTCCTAAACAGGAATTAAGAGTTTAAATATTTCCTAAATCTTATGTGTTGTATTTAAGAAGGCTGCAAAACTGCTCATGACTAGATATTTCATTACATATATAAAGGCATTGTAAAATTTTGTGGTCAGTTTACACACACTAAATTTTCATATTTGATGTTCCAATAAATTTAAAGTCAAATGCTCTTGAAATTTCTGTTTAAAGATTCTTGTTACTGTGAGGCAAGCTTAATGCTGTTTGGTTTGGGTTTTTCTGTACTTCATAACCACATGGTGTGAATGTCAAGACTGCTCTCTTATTTAAATAATAGGTAAGTACAAAGTGATTAGTTTAGCTTCTTTCAAGCGCTAAATTATAAGCTATTTCTACGCATTTTGAGGGAAATAATGAGTATCTCCTGGTAGGTTATTTATTTTTTTTTAAAGATAACTGCCATCTTCACAAATAGCTATAACATATAAACAAGTAAACATTTTTAAAGCATTTTGTATTACTCATTTAACTGGGAATATGCTGATATTGGGGACTGTAACATGATTTTCTGGAAGCTCATCATGGTACAGGAGTTTGATATCTCAGTGAATAGAAACCCAAACATAAATTCAACATTGTCTCCTGCTGGAAGGAGTGTTTCATTGAACATGGTATCTCTTTTATGTTTGGTTCCTGTGGATATCGCTGTGCTATCCTTCCCTTTTTCTTCTCTTTTCTTCTCCTTTCTTTCATCTCTGCTATTTTTTTTCCTTCCACAAGAGAATCAGCAAACATACGTATGGTTTTTCTGCATGTAGTTCTTGCTTTCTTCATTTGACTTCTGGCATTGTATTCTCATGAGCAATTTTCATGTTGCCCCATGGGATTAAGAATAGAATAAAATACCCACATAGTGGAACTCATAGTAAATGAATTCCCTAGAAGGGCATATTTTCCTTAAACAGCACCAAAACCAACTTTCAGGTTTTTTCTTCTGGAATGTATCTTGCTCAAAACCCTGGGGAGAGAAGACATGAGAGATTGGTGCCTGTTCAAGTTAGTCAGACCGTGGGAAGTGTGCTTTGCTTCTTTGCTTGCTTTCCAAGTTTGGGCATGCAGGGAATTTGGAAACAGTGTTATTCTATAAAATGTTAGGCTGGCCTTAAAAGCCCAGCTTTTCCTATGTCCTGGAAACAGCAGCTGATTTCTCTACAGCTGGCCCTTTCATTTTGAATCAGTTGGTACCAGTTCTGTGCAGTTCAAATACATCTGAATGTTAAAGGCATGAAATTCAACAATAAATAAATTAACCATGTTTCCAGTTTTGATCTTGGTAGCAGTGCCCTCTTTGGATGATCTGGTATGTTTCCAGGGACTAAAGTAATGGTCAGAATTCAATTTGAAATTGTGAATTTAAGGAATTATATATAAAAATTTTTGAGTAGTGTTTTATTAGCACACAGAACACTGTGGATTGTTGCCTAGGGATATTTTCTGTGTAAAAAATGCTTTTTTTAACTTGCTATGAAATGAAACATTTATTTCCTATCAGGTCAAACCAACTATAAACTCTTTTATTAATTTAAGAATGCAAAGACAGAGGAGTATGGTATTGCTTTGAATCCTTGTGGAAAATATGAAGAGTATATAAAATTTTTTAAGAGAGGAGAAGAAGCTTGTGGCTCTGCCCTGGTAAGCAGGGCAGAATCAAGAGTTCATCGGATGGGGTTCTAGCCTTGAGTCATGGCACCAAGATGTTTATGTGTATTGGTCTTCCACTTCACTGCTCTTGCTTGTTTTGAGTGTGATCTTTTTGCATAGGTTGCATGTAGAACAGGTGTCTATTGTCATCAGTACTGAGTTTATGCCAAGAGGTACTGTCTTAAATGTATTTAGTGTGAGAAATGGGATGAAAGAGATTCTACAGCAGTACATGAAAGTAATTTATCGGTGTGAATGCATTGCATGCCTTCTGTAATGTAGTTTGTCTGTCTTTGAAGTAGATGAGATGAGATAGATGGTGACTGGAGAAGCTTTTGATTCTGAATGTTTTTCTTTGTTAAATAATAAAAAAAATCAAGTGGAATATTCTGTTCAGCTTTGACTCTGTTAGAATTCCTTACCTGACTGGGGAGAAAGAATACACATAAAGGAGAATATCTTATTTGATGCAATTATAGTAACAGACCTTCACTGTCTTTTAAAAGTAGTTGGAGTTCTTAAAAGTAGTGAAAATGTTTGGGGCATCAGAAATTTACATGCATTTTCTTCACTGGGAATTAATGGGAGTATAGATATCACTTAAATTGTTTGTGTTATAGCTGCCTAAATTATATATGTGAAAGCTTAAAATTCCTGATAGTTTTAAACTCAAAATTACTGTAAGCATAAAATGTCTTGTTCACAAATAGACACTACCTTGTGAAAGTTTTGACTTTAATTTAAAAATATCATCTTCTTCAACAGCTAAATTCTAGGCATGGGAAGTCCTTGGGGAAGAAAATACACATGTAGTATGTGATTTTTGCACGAAAACACCTCCCATAAGCATACATGATGAAACATTGCACAAATATAACTTTCACCTTTGCATTTCAGGAAAACCAGATACGTCTGCTGAAGCTCTTCTGAATCGGGAATCTATAAACCCTGCGAGTTACTCAAGCCAACTAGAAGACTCTGGATGTGATGTCTCTAATGACTCTGCATTTGATTCTTTAGGCATAGCTTCAGATTTTCACCAATCTGAGCAAAATGTCAAAGTTCCCCCATTGAACCTTTGCCATGCTAGCAAGGAGCAATCTCTGACTGCTCCAGTGCAGTTTTTGCAACATTTGCTTGAAATAAGAAAACTGTCAGAAGGAGGGATCCTACAAGCAGACTTCTCAGAGCTTGAGAATGATTCTTTCACTATATGCAATTCAGTGTCTCAGTTACTTGATGGACTGACTGTTTTTTACAACAATCCTAAATTTCCAGTTTCGAATTGTCTTACCGAAGCAGTTTGTGTTTTGGTCAGTTTAATAACTGATACTAAACTATCTAATCATGTTTTAAAGAAGTGTTTCAAGAAGCTGGAAGAATTTAAGAAAAATCTAATTCAAATTATTTTAAGAAGCAGCAGTATCAATAGGGTAAGTTTAAAATATCTTCCCTCTTTCCTACCCTACTTCAGTATAATGTAATATTCTTCTAGTTTTATGCGCTTCTTAAATATCAGTTTGTCGTCTTATATTTCAAAGAGTACCACTCCGAGATTTTTGTGATTGTATTTTTTTGTGCTATGGGCAATAAATGCTCTACAGCATTTGAAAAAGTTCTTGTTCATGCGTGCAATAAGTTCTGTCCTGTTCCTGAGTGTAGGTCTTTTAGGAACCGATAAAAAGGCAGTTTAAAGCAACTTTATAGAAAATATGAGAGAAAAACACATTGTTTCTCTCGATGAAGATATATTGTAGATATTCACAAAGTAATGAATATGCAGTTTTTTTTATTCTTTCTTGAGCACCTAAATAAAATAGGTTGGTTTACTGCAGAAGATCTGTCACTCTTTAGATATTTGCAAATTTGTGTTTTAAAAATAGGGCAGCAAATGAGGGAAGAATGCAGAAATAGCATGTCTCCAGCACAGACAGTAAATAGCACTGAATTGCATTTTCTTTGTGTTCATCAGTCTGTGTTGTTCCATGCATTGGTTTGTTAGTTTCCTCATTCAACTGAAGTATTCCTGGCCTGTCTTCATAAGATGCCCCACAAGTAATGAATTCCATTGCCTGTTTTAGGATTTTTGCTTTTCATTCTGACCTTTAGAGTAACTTGGTACAGACATGATGGTGGTATTGTTTGAGACTTACATGTACCAATTTAGTGTCCCAATGTTTGTAACTGCATTATCATTATGCTAAATGAGGATCCCCTGTAATCCTTGGAGCCTAAAGAATGCTGACCAGGTATTAGGTGTCTATTTTAGGGTGAGCTCCAAAGTTGTCTTAGCATGAGAGCCTAGACACATGCCACACATGTGGATGGATGTACCCATTTGCCTTAATTTAATATGAATCTCACTATGTATTGACTATTTACAACAGAACAAAAACATCAAACAAATATTATTACCAAATTAAGAGGGAGTTGGCTAGGAAGGATATACCTGTATTTTGGTCAGAAAGTATTCAGAATGAAATCTTTCCAGGACTAGAGCCTTGTGTCTGTAATACCAGAGTGCTTTCCATTTCAGTGTCACCACAGTGTGATACTTAGTTTTTCGTTAGAGGTGTGCCTGGCCGATATTTTGGAAGAATGTGTCTTTATCTTCCATTTGTGTGGTGCCAGGAATGGAGTTATACAGGTGTAACTCCTTTTTTTTTTTGTGTGTGTGTGTGATCACTAGATACACAAAATAGAGAGTTTGAGCAGTCCTTCATTGAGAACTTCGTCACAGTTGATGATGTCCAGTATTTCCACCCTTTCCCTTCCTCTACCCTAATGGGAAGTCAGTAAATAATTAAAGCAATGTTAATTGTAGGAGAGCAATCAAGAGGTTATCCGGAGAGGGATTATTTGTTGATTGGAGGAACCTGGGAAAGTTTAAGTTAAGCGAGAGAAAATACCCTGATAGATCAGGGATGTTTCAAGTCTGCAAAATGCTTTTGTAAATCATTTGGAGTATGTCCACTTAATTTGAAAGAGGCGTATTATGAATAACTTCATTAAAACAGATGTGTTTTTATTATGTCTTGCTTCCACCAAAATACTGACTTAACAGTCATTACTATGGGCAGCCATTACATGAATCAAACAGATGAAAAGAGTTTAAAACTATATAAGCCAATTACTAAGGTATAATTGTGGAGGTCCCCAGATTTCTAGGGGAACAGGGAAAAAGTTGTGTGTAGTAATTGCAAGGTTTATAAAGATTAGTTGAAAAATCTTTTTAGAGGTTTGGTTTTCTTTAAACTGAATTGAATATGGAAATACGCAGAATTCAGAATTAGTAGTCTAAATTTTATAACTAATTCTTCATATGCTATGTACCAAATATCTCCCAGGGATCCTTTATAATTCAGTTTTAATCATCACTGTTTACTCAAGTGATGATTGAACTGTCAAGATTATATGTTTAAAATAAAATTACCATTAATTACAAGGCTGGAAAGAGTGGCAAACTGTGTGAATTTCAGTTCCAGGAAGATGCCTTAATTCCTCCAGTATAAAAATATTAAGAATTTTACTGTATCTAATCTTACTGCCAAAAAGCATTTGTATAGACAGCCATCAATAACAGCTTATAGTATTTGACACAACTTTCCCTTTACCATCCTCACCTATAAAACTGTCAAGAGCTTTCAAGGACAAAGGGCTGTGAGAAACACCTTCGAAAAGTGAACAAAGAGCAAAGGGGCTGTGGATTACATTTAATGCCTCATCTTCGAAAGCAGTCTCAGCATTTTTTAGAGCAAGTTAAATAACTTTGAGAATTGGAAAAGAGATAATTATCTCTGCATTAGATATAAAGGAAGAAAAACAGCAGCAGAATTACTTGCTGTAACTGTTGAGTCCTATTGTTTGAGATGTTTCTAATTATAAAGCATTGGAAGCTACAGGAACCAGCAAAGACATGTACTCAGAAATTTTTTTCCTAGATTCAGCTACCTAAAGCTGTGCACTTTGGATACAGTTTTTGACCTGAAACTCCAAATTGACGAGAGTATCAAAAGGACAGAAAAAAAAAAAAGTCTATCAATGAAGATATGTGAGGTAAAATAAAATGTAATATTACTTAAAATGTAAAAATTATTTAAATCAAAAAACTTCAAATAGAAGTAGCCTCTTGTATTTCCCTTTCCTTTCAAATGGACTTTACTACCTTCAAATGGACTCTTGAAAACATGGGAAAACATTTCCTTTGGAAAACTCTGGTAGAAGGTATGGTATGTAATTACAGCTCCTAACAAATTACTTTGTCACTTCTCCTTCAGAGGGGAAGCACCAGAACATTTTTTCCTTAATCTGTCCATTTGGAATTTGACAACACCTGTCTCCATCCGCCTCCACAGGGACATAGCAAATGTGCATTTCTCCTGTTTCTAGTTGCATCACTCACTCACTGATACTGGAGGGTGCCTGTTCTATTGAGATTTGTCTCTGTTGTCCAGGATGTATTGGAACAGGGGATCATTTCTCCTATACCAGAAAAATGCAGCAGTCAGAGGCACTGGGGATTCCCAACTTGCTGTGCCCCTTAGAATAGCATATGTGGTTTATATTTCTGATGATGCTGTAATTTGAAGCATGGCTAATGCATCAGTTATGTACCAAAAGATCCTGGCCTTCACCCTGGGTTCTGTACAGAGCTCTGTGTCTCTTTCTTGGAGGTCTTGTTTTAAGGAGTTAATCAAAACACAAACACTTGCCTTTAGGATTCTAGAGTAAGGTCGAGCTGTGTTGGGCTCCTGTTCAACAAATATCTCGTGCCTCTGGCCCATCTCACTCATAGTCTCTTTCAAACAAGACCCAGAAGGAAGAGGGATGCGTTTCAGGGATATGTCATGGTTTGGTTTTTCTCATGCTGTTTAAACATCAATACTGACTTTTAAGAGTCATGAATTGCCTGCTCCATTCAAACAGCATACACACACACAAAAAGGTTATTGATATTTCCTTCCTTTTTTTTTAACCCTTTTCACTTGGAAATGCATGTTCCATGTAGTTGTATGTGACAATATATTCCCCCGGCTGTGTGTAGTTTGCATCTTTTCTCAGCCAGGACTGCGTTAACTCATCAGTTTACAAGAGTCTTGCCTGCTCAGGGACAAATAAGATTTAAAAATAGTTATTCATGTCACTGGTGGTTTTCAACTGTGACATTAGTGGGCTTCAGTTTTCCTAAATTAGTTGACTCCCAAGGGGAATGTCATGGGAACATTTTCACATTACATTACATCAAAGAATTTTGCCTATATAGTGGAAGAAAATTTCATTTGTATGAATACTAAAACATGTCGCCTGGATTTTAAGGTCTACTAAGGGTCAATGTTTGAATCTCTTATTTGTTGAATTAAATTTTCTCAGCAACCTTTTGTCTTATGTAGAGTGCTGTTTAAGTGAAATGTAAAGCAAAATCCATTGTCTTGTGAATCACTACACTGTGAAGCAATCACCAAACTGACTGACTCTCATTTCCTTCAGTAAAGTGGATCATAGGAGCAGCTAGACAGGAATGAATTAAAGAAAATTTTGTCCACCTTCCCTCCTCAGCCAGCCTCAGATGATATACATCGTGCACTAAAGCTACAATTTCAGAAGAGCTACAGGAGGAAGTTAGCAGAATTTTCTTTTACCATTAGGGAAAAAAAGTTTTATTCATGGTTTCCAACCTGTCTGTGATGCTGTTTGCTCAGCAGCATCTCTTTTCCTAATAACAAATATTGTCACTGCCTGTTTTTGTGCAAGTAATTAACTAGTATTCAGGGTATTTTGGATTATTTCCATTTGGAGAAGAAAAGGGATGGAATAGGCTTTTGCTCTTCTTTTGATTTAAAAACGAAATATGTAGGCATCCTTAGTGGAAGATTACAGAAGGTCTTGGTTTTGTTGAATATGATAGGAAATATTTATCAAAAGCTGTTTGTTTCTTTCCTCTGCCCCCAGTCTCTCTCCATTGAATGCTTTCTGCCATAGCTCTCTTTCTGTAGCTTCACATTAGCAGTGTCATTTTGCTTCTTTGGCATCTCTTTGATATTTGCAGATGAGACAACGTGGAACTGCAGTGTCAAAGCCCATCCCTTCAGCCTTTCACTTAACATACCTGGGTAAAATAATTTGAATTCTATATAGGTCTTGTTTTCTGTTATCCTAGACATGTTATTGAACAAAAGGACCTAAAATTGTTCCATCTTTTGGTCTCAGGTGTGCCATAGTAGTTTGTTATTCAAAGAGGTGACAGGACCACCTTAGCTCCAACATATAATTACTTATCCCAGCTCTTCAGTTCCATTCTGGTTACTTTCAGGCCACTTTTAGCACTGTTCCTGCTGTAATGATTGTCTTTCTCTTCATGGAAAAATTCAGTTTGTTGGTATTTGGGTTTCTTTTCCTTAGGGGAAAATTACCTCTTACATCCTCTAATTTTTGA